ATCAAAAAACGGCTCCGCCGTCCCTGAGTTAAGAAGGTGGTTTTTAACGAAATTACGTTGTTAAGATGGAGCAAACTAAGAAGAAGATAACGTAATTGTTACATTAATACATATCCAAATTTTATGAAAATTAGGCTAAACTATTTTCTACCAATTTAGGCCCGTATAATCCCAATTTTTCAGAGACACTTTCTCCGTGAATCTCATTAGGTATGAACCATCTTATTTGCGAAAAGTTGATTGGAAGTATAAATTTTCCAGACACACTTGCTCCGTGAATCTCATTACGTATTTACCATCTTATTTGCGAAAAGTTGATTGGAAGTAAAAAAACATATATTACTACTCCGCTTATGCGGAAACAGCTATACACTATATAATGAGAATATTTACAAACTATGACTTACTTATCGAGTGTGACTTTCAGTTTTTTTAGTTGTTCTTTATCAGCTTCTGTGATAAGCTCTTCCAGTTCACTGACTGCTTCAGCTGCTGCCTCTTCTCCATGCTGAGCCCTCAGGCCGGCAATAGTGGCATCCATTCTTTCTTGCTTCTCTAACAGACGCCTAGAATATATAATGAAACAGTTCATGAACAACATTCATTAACAAATACATTTGTTTCCGTCATGGAGAAACTTGGCTCAAAATCCATTTTAGTTAACAAACAACGAAATATAGAATCAACGATTGAGCGAATAAAATTGTTTAGTTTCTTATAACGATTGAATTAAAAAATTGTGTTTTTTTAAATATTCTGGGTGCCCCCCCCCCCCCTTCAATTCCTGGGACCTCGCTACGCCCCTGTATAGAGTGTTTATTATATAAGTGGACATCATACGGTATTGACTTACAGCATGTACACGGCACGCGGACATGTCCTTAACATCAAAATGGCTTCCCATTGTCTTTCAGTAGTTTATCCAATCATAAAGCGTAGTTAAACTTACAGTAAGATACGGAATGGCTGCGAATTTACCGTACCGTTTCCCACTCATACGAAAATCACTCTATATATATGTAAAACATCGGATTTTACCAAGCAGAGATTTCTACGAGAATCTTGTATCAACGAATGGTTTTCCTCCTTCCTCGGCCTCTGCCTATCTTTTCCCTACGAGACCCTGTCTACTGCAGAGTCTGTGCACAGCTGAAGTCGCTTATGAACTCGAAAGGAGTTCTGCAAGAATATTTTTAAACTCACCTGTTATCTTGCGTCTCGCTCTGCCGCCTACTCATCAAATTCCCTTGAGTCTGCCATAAAGAAATTGAAGTATTAGAAATAGGTTTTTTGTGCACATATAATCTATGATTATGCGCACATACTTCATTATGCGCACATATTTCATTATGCGCACATATTCTATCCTGCGTGCATATTCTATTTGCGCACTTACTTACTGCACCCACCTGATAGCACCGTTCCAGATGCATCCGAGAAAGTTGTTTGAGATTAACAGAAAACAGGTAAAACGTACGTGACGGCGCATAGTCTGCTGTTTTAGGCACCTCCTGGGAAAAAGTATCATACAAAATTATGAGCAATGGATCTTTTTTCAGCGGCAGTTTACGAGTTTAAAAATTGACTACTCYGGGTTGGACGGAGAGCCTACTGAACAGGTCTTGCAACCCGAGCCTACGCTCCGAAAAAACGTGAAATGCAGCAGCTTTCCCCCGGTTATGTTAAGACCCAGTTGAGTGCTAATCCAGATTGAACATCAGATTTGCTGCATGATAGACCAATGCTCGCAGGGTGTTTAACATATCGAGTGACAGGTGTCGCATGTGGCAAGCCTGCGATTTAGCGATGGACATCGGACATTTGTACGTAGTGGTTTAGACTGGTGAACGTTCAGTCTGGCCAGGCACCCTGGGCTCTTCTGGCCGGGCTCTTCTGTCAGGATGTGGAACATGAAAAAATTTGTTCATTCAAGATTTGAAAAAAAATTCTTCACTCAAGATTGCAAAACCCAGCGCGTTTGATCCAACTGGCTTACCTGCATGTTTATGATCTTTTCACTGAACAATTTGTACAGCAACTCCTTTGCATCCTTGGATGGGATCATGGAGAGTTCACCAATCTTTGAAAGAGAGAGAAACAGTATCAATAAAAATATATAAGTACTCTCGGAGTCACAGATAATGGTGTTTTAACACAATGGACGTGAGCTGAATTATGGGACTGTTTTAGAAAACACTATTTGTATTCTTTGTTTTAGAGGTTTTAGTTTTTGAATAGAGTCACATTTACTTTAGTTTTCGGTCTGTTTTTCAAGAGAGTTTCCTAAGCTGTTTGCCATTTTGAATAGAGAAAATGGTGTCCCCTTAAACAGTACGCATCCTACTTATCAGTTTTCTGCTCAACCTCGAATAGGCAATTAACATACTGCTAAAAATACCTGCTTTTGTTCCAGATGGTCTTTTTGTAGAAGAAGTCGAAATATCCTTAAAGCATTTGAGCCATACCTATGACAACAAGGGAAAAAATTGTTTGTCTTGTAAGGATAAATTTATTTCACAAAAGAAAAGAAATTCATAGTTTCTACTTTTATTCAGCTTTAAGAAAATGCATACGTTATTGGCGGTTTAACAAAATGGTTTCACGCTATATAGAGTTGAATGCAATGTTTGAGAAATTCAAAATTATTTTGTGATTGTCGGATTAACAAAAAAGCCCTTTGCAACTAAATGGTTTGATAGAGGATAGATATGAACAGTGTTCCAGTGGTTTTGGCAGGACATTTTCGCACTAAAATGCACATTACACATCTTCAGAGCTTTTGCCACCACTACTAGAACGATACACAAATGCATCAGTGACTCGATGTGCACTGCCTGTGATAAATTGGAAGTGCAACATTAGGTCATATTTCTAAAACAATACCTCTCCTGTAAGATGGACTGGAGAGTGTGTTGACACAATGTTGTTACACAGTTCTTCATATCTAGAACAGTTGGTTAAGTACTCAAACCGAAATTCCTTATCAGCCAAAAATTTCATTTCCCATTTTTGACCAAATTTCTACAACCATTTTCATCAACCTTGCTCCCCGGGCCCAATCTTTCTCTTCTCTTCTCCTCTTCCCTTTTAAATAAAAAAATGATACTTTAGGGAATGACATGTAGTCAGAAATAGGAAAGCATTATGACTAAGGTTTAAGAGGTCTATTTGATTGGTAGACACCTAAAGACGATGCCTGATGCCTGGCATTTACGTAAAATGTAAGTTTGTCGAGCAAGATGAATATAAATATTGGACTTAGAATGAGGAATATTTAATATTTCAAGGATACCAATGACGTATGTACCACCACCACTTTCATCTTGTTTCCTCACCAACTTGTCCCGGTCATCAATCATCAGAGACAAGTACTGGCTGATCCTAGAATTTTCTATTCTGCAGTTTTTTGGTAAACTCTTGGCAATCTGTCATAGATATGATATGAATTTTCAAAAAAATCAAAAGTACACTGCAGCTCCATCACTAACGCCTCCTGTCTCTTCTGCTTTTTGTGTAAATGGGCTACCTGTGTTTTCTACCACAGGAAGCCCAAACAAGAAAACAGAAATCAATATCCTTATTAATCTAAAACTATGGCCAGTTACTGGATATGATTACTAATATTTAAGAAGGAAAATAAATATTTATGATAACTCCATTTCTTTTGCATGACAGTGACTTTTCTAACCTCATAAAATGTTATTGGTTTTGTTGTAACAGCTTGAATATCTCTGGATAACTCATCTGTCTTGAACATTGTCCTCACAATCTCAGCAGCAACCTGTCGACAGCAAGAAAATTTCATTTTTAACTTTAAATACTCTTATTTCATAAGTTCATAAATCTTCTTTTTTATCCAGCATTTCAGAAATCAAAAATTATTTTTATTGGAAGATAATTAAAAAAAAAAAATTTAATAAATACATCCTTACCGAATCAAACTTTTTCTCAACAGCAGATATTATTTCCTATAAAGCAACAAGAAATTATAAGTTTTATGGCTTCTCTAATGCTTTATCCCCACTCACGATATTACTTATGATTGTAAACTGTGTGGAAGCAATGTGCACCATAATAGCTGTCCCTAAAATTCCTCCAATGAAACTTTATCAAGTAATACATACATGTGTGTGTCAGTCTTGATTGCTCTCTCATGATGCTGGCAGACCTTTTATCTTATTTTTATTTTATACCAGCAATTATACATCTAGTTCAGTTCTTACCTGTTCTAAGAACAGTTGATGAAACCTTTTGTAGTTAATACTCCAACGAATACCTTGGTCTGCTATCTGGAAAGTGATGAAACTACATAAGTTAATTTGAATTTTGGATATAGCACAACATAGAACAAGTTGTCATGATTAAATACCAAATTAACATGGAATATTGACAAATTTCTTTGCCTACCTCATATGAATCTTGGCTAGATCTTCTAAAGTAATTAAAAAAAAGAATAAATGAGACAGAATGAAAATAATATTTTGTTATTTTCATTGCGCATAAAGCAAGTAGACATCATAAAACATACCCATCACCAGTTTTAAGTCTTTTTGCTGGTTGATCAGAGTCATTGCTTCTTTTTCTCTTTCCACTTGCTATATGTTAACAAAAAACACTCCCAGTAAGAATTAATTCCATAGCTGAGTCAGGAGGATGTTGGTTGATTGTTAGTAGTATAGTGTTGGTTGGTAGGTGGTCAGTAGTCTGTCATTGTGTTGGTTATCAGTAGTATCATTGGTGTTGGTAGGTGGTCATTATGGTGTTGGCTGGTTGTAGTATGGTATTGGTAGGTTGTCAGTAGGATGTTGGTTGGTTGTCAGTAGAGTGTTGGTAGGTTGTCAGTAGGATGTTGGTTGGTTGTCAGTAGAGTGTTGGTAGGTTGTCAGTAGGATGTTGGTTGGTTGTCAGTAGAGTGTTGGTAGGTTGTCAGTAGGGTGTTGGTGGGTTGTCAGTAGAATGTTAGTAGGTGGTCAGTAGAGTATTGGTAGGTTGTCAGTAGGGAGTTGGTAGGTTGTCAGTAGGGAGTTGGTAGGTTGTCAGTAGGGTGTTGGTAGGTTGTCAGTAAGGTGTTGGTAGGTTGTCAGTAGAGTGTTGGTTGGTTGTAGTATGGTAGGTTGTCGGTAGGATGTTGGTAGTTTGTCAGTAGGGTGTTGGTAGGTGGTTAGAAGGGTGTCAGTAGGTTGTCCATGGGGGTGCAAATAAGTTATTGGTAAGGTGATGCTAAGTTTTGTCAGTAGAATATTGGTAGGGTACCATTAGGGTGATGGTTGTGCATTGTCAACAGGGTGATATAAATAGGTTAACAATAGGGAGATAGAAAGTTATCAGCATTATTGATGGTTTTCACGGCGGTTATTTTGGAAGAACTTAACAAAATAATTGTCAATGAATTCTTTCGTTATATGCTCCAACATGGCCGCCGTGTCTTTTTTTATTTAATTCTCTTGGGAATGGTTGAAAACCATCAATATAAATAAGTTGTCTGTGATAAGTCAGTTCAATGTGGACCAAAGATCTCATCAAGTCCCATACTTACTTTCAGGAGGAAGAACAAACATCTTCTCATCACTCCCTTCCTCTCCCTGACTATCTTGAGACAACCGATAAAGATAATGTCCTTCGACCAGATTTGAAAACACCTTTCTAACATCACTCTCAGTAGAATTTAAACCTGCACATTTAAATTGTTCCACAACATTATCCACTATAACACTCATAGGTATTGCTCCATGCTTGATTATTTCTTCAATAATAAGCTTCCCTGTATCATCAAAAAGGCTTTTTGCAGCCATCACAAATCGAGGGAAGCGTAGATAAAGAAGAATCTTTTCAATTTCCAAGCTGTAGAGAAGAACGTTTTTCTTTTTTTCTTCATGCACGACAAGCTTGTGTTGGACCAGTGAACATAGGGCCTTTTGTACCTGAAGCAGGAAAATACATTATAATATAAGATAGCTAATGTTATGCATTTTCAAAAAAATATACAATTAATTACGACAAACCTGTTCTTTCTTCAGTTTTGTGTCGAAAATGATTTCTCTAAGAGAACGAGCACCTTTTTGTACCAGATAAGACCCTACAGTCTCTACAATATCTCCAAAATGCTCCCTCAGAATATAAGATGCCAGTCGTCTCTGAACAGTGGTCATCTTAGCTTTTCTATTTTAATATTCTTAAAATAAATCACTTTAAAAGTTCAAATAACTCCAACTTCAACTTCGTCCGCCATTTTGGATTCCCGCGCTCAAGATACCATCAGCCTTTTCGAGCCTAGATAGATCGTGATTGGATGAGAAAAATTCTCTCAGCCAATTAGAAAGGGTCTATTATGTTTACAGCAGCGGAAGTCATGGGATTCAACTAATATAATGCAAACATTAAAGAACAAAGTTGGTTAAACTTGGGAGCTTCCTTTTTGACCTCCATTTTTTCCAGAATTTACCTTAAATGCATCTGCATTTTGTCTTCCTATTCAGGTAAGGTTCAAGGCTGGTTGTGATTAGCTTAAATCTTGGAAGTTTCTTCATGTCGAACCTTTAGTGTTACTGATGAGCCCTTTGTGATATTTGTGTTTTACTGTGGTCCTACCATACATAGCTCGTTTTATTCGCACTTGCCTATGTAAGCACAGGTATCAAATATTTGAGACTTGTTTTGTGCAATTGGCGACTTCTCGTGTTCCTTTGAGGTCATTAGTAGATCAAGACATGGAACAATACTAGGAATTATCCACACCTTCAGGCAATATTAAGTTACACTGTGAATGCGTGCTGCTGTTTTTTTCTGTAAGTCCCCATCCCTTCTTGCAGTGATAAGGATCAAAAATTCCGAGGAGCGCTTCCTTCATGGGTAAGGGTGGTCTAATACGGCATAAAACCCACCAAACCCCCTCCAAAGGTGTGTTATGCATATGTTTCAAAACTATGCACGTTTGATTTCAATGAAGATCAATGAACAATCAAGGAACACGACAATAATTCATGATGAAATATTGCCGTGTTTCTTGAATAGACTCACTTCCTCAGGAATAAACTGATTTTTCTCTTAGGAAATTAACAATCATGAACAAGTGAATAAATGAATGAACATGATTTTTTTTACCAGGAAGAGAAATGGATTCCACTATAAGATGTGCAGGGTGTGGCCATGATGTTCTCAGGTCTGCAGCATTTGAATGTCAATTCAAGGAAGGTGATAAGCCATCCCAGAGCAATAAAGCATTATTATTTGAAGGATCACAAGAAACGCACCGACTTTGTATGGAATGTAAATATATTGTTGAAACTCATTATGGTGACCTAAGTAACGTAACACCAGAAGATGCCTATACTTTACTGTATAGCGTCAGGGTCAAAGGAGGCGAACAATGCTGCGCATGCTGTTGCAACAGCTGCACAGTCATGTGAATAACAGAACTGACTGCCGAAATATGATGAATAGCATATAATAGCCTACGATTAGAATATATATCAAGAAATCATGGAATGAGTGAATAGATTTTTAGTTGGATTCTCAATGCCTCCAAAATATTTTTTCCAAAAATCTTAGACGGTAGAGGTAGCATGAATTAAAGATTTATTTTATTTTCATGGTAACACATGCATGCACATCACAACAAAGTAATAATACTTTCTGAACAAAGTTAATTTTGATTCAGAGCATAGATATGCAGTAACTACCCAGAAAAGTTTTTACCATGAATTAAGAAATTTTGCTCAATGAATATTTGCATGCAGATGTACATGAATATTATTCTTTTCATTTTATAGAGAAATATATATAATTGATAGTAACTTTTTAAATTTATTTACAAAAATTCCCATGTACAAAAAATAGCTGAGCTGTTCTGCTTTTTTTATCTGGGAGGGGTTGATACAATTTGCTTGATAACCCATATAAGAAATTGGACCCCCCTTCTCTGTTGATGCATGAAAAAATGGCCCTTATCTGGCTTTTTTTCCTGTTTATCATAAAAGTGCCATACCAGTCAAGTTTATCTGTGTCCCTCCTGTAAAGCCTGATTTTTTTAATGACCATCTCCCAAATCCCACTCACCCCCTCCCCAGTAAAAAGTAAATGGTTCCTAATAAAATTAAAACCATAAAAAAAATGTTAGAGTGAAGTCACTAAACCTGTGAAATAGATATTAGACTAACACACTTTAGTACACCTTAATTCCATTGTTTTCTTTTGTGTCTATTTGACTATTACACGTTGGCTAATAATTTTTATTTTCCTCTATGTCAGTGCAGTGTTATTAAAAAAAGGTAATTTTAACAAAAAACAGCATTACCTAAGAAACAGGTGTTTTGAAGTCCCATTTCATTTGCACAAAAACACACACAACACAAGATAGGATAATTATTTTATTAAAAAATTATACCAGAAAAAAGCCTAATAATAATAACTCTTATGTACATGAACGTCAGATTTTAGTTTAGTTATAAATAGTTTGTATTGTAAATAATAATAAGCAAGAATAAATTGTTTCCCTTATATAGGTTTTTTAATCACTAATATGAGTTCTCTTTTAAGTCTAATTAAATAATTTGATCTACAGGTTTTATCATGATACATATTTTTGGTAATATTCTATTTTGTTCTTTTCAAAAGAACACCATGCAAGTTAACTACACCTCTCAGACTTTAGTACCTTTATTTTGCAGCTTGGAATACTTCCATTTTGTCTTTGCTCAGTCTTAGCCTGGATTGTGTACAAATGTGTTATTTTCTTTTATCAAGGTCCATTGTCTAGTAAGGAATGTATGTACTATGGAACAATACAAGTTGATTAAAATGCTAAGGGTTTTGGTTGAATAGCTGAATATTTAATGCACAACCGAGGCTAAGGCTGAGCAAAGAGAACTCAAAACTGGGGTTTTCAATCCTATATTGTGTTTAGCTGCACAAAAATTTTAATAGTTACAAGGAGTTCAATCTTGCATTGTATGTACCTAAACTACCCTGTTTGAGGCTGTATATGGTAGAACATTTTTAATCAAAAATTTGATGTTCATTATCGTTTTTTTTTGTTGAGCTCAACTAATGTACCTCCAGGCTCGGCATTGGTCCATCTGCCACTATGGAAACACCCTTCCTATGTTGCTGTGGTGAACATGAAGTTATGGATGTTTTTTCTTCATTACAATTCTTTACATTCGTATGAGAGCTACTATGACTTGTAACGATGTTTTTGGTATTATTTTCTGCATTATTTTCTTCATTACAATTCTTTACATTCGTATGTGAGCTACTATGACTTGTAATAATATCTTTGGTGTTATTTTCTGCATACTCATGATGACACTCTTTAGTGACTACCGTCTCATCTTGGAGTTGATTTTCATAATTTTTATCTATTTTAACTTCTATGCCTTGGAACTGGATCTTCACTTCAAGTTCCTCATTAACATGTGCTGAACTACCAGGCAAAGAATTGGATTTAAAAACAGATGTAGTTGGTACTGTCAATGACACAGCAGAACACCTTCGTAGCTGTGAAGCACTGTGGCTTATTTCTGTGTTTTCAACAGGATGCTCAGGAACAGACTGCACTGCAAGTGAAGGCTTACGGGTGGAAGATGTTTTGGCAACTACATGGATTGAATCCTTTGAGACTTCACGAGAAGGGGACAATACCCTGGACCTTGTTGTAGGATCTCTTTGGAGGAAATTATGAATAAACCAGTTTACTCTGAAAAATATAATAAAAAATATGTTATAATGCCATCATTAATTAGGTTTTTTGTCAAACTTATCCATTGCTGCAATTTGAATGACTTTATTTCAGTAAAGAGAGCAACTCCTGGTATTTTTTAAAAAGCTTAAAAGTTAGGGTTTATAGTGTTTGTTTTGTAAGAAAATCGATTAAATTGCTTTAACCAAATTGCATAACTTCCTAGATCTTTCATGTTTCCAGATTGACTCACTTTTCTGGTTTTTCTAGCATAACCATGTGCCCAGCATCTTGTATAACTTCTAGAGATGAGCTATAAATTGACTACAAGTAAAAGACATAATATAAGAACATATTTATTTCCCACTGAAAATACTAACATACAGTTGGAATTATGGAAACAAGAAGTGATTGATTGGCACCCTCTTTTGCCCCCTCCCTCTCCCCCCCCCCCCCCCCCCGTCATACATGCTTCTTTAGATTTGTGAGTTGAGGGTTCTTCATCCCATAAGCAAATAAAAATAAATCTTGGAAATGCTATTTTGCACATTGTCAAAGGCAACCCTACCAGGCAGACAGTAAGTTCAATAGGCACAAAAGGAAACCTCTATATCTGCGGCTGTTTCCCCTCTCCAATAAAAAATGAATTGCCCCTAACCTCTTGCATCCATTGTTCGTCTTCAAGAGTAACAAACATATCTTGAGCACCATGAATTAACAGTGCTGGAACCATCAACTCGCTATGAAAATTTTCATCTCCCACTTCCCATTTCTGTAAGACAACACAAATGAGAAAAAGTATGGATAAACAGTCATATGAGAGAATTTAAAAGTAGGTTCCACAAAATATCCTCCCCTCAAATGCATTAGATTCAAATTTTCAAAGTGAGGAGTTTATTGCTAGAGTTCTCAGTTGAGTTTGGCGTGACATAAGTTTTGTTAGTGAAATGTGCATGTCATGTTGTCTGGTGCAACCTCAAAAGCATTTACAGCACAGTGTGCAAAAGTATGACCGGTGATATGGAAACTTACCTGTCCCTGTAGTACAGCCTTTAACACAAATAACGGAGCACTGAAGGCTCTCACGCAACTAGTCAGTGACCTGTGCTGCCTGTGAAATGCTCCCCTGAAAAACACAGAATGTTGGTATGATAGATTAACACAAATGACTATGAGGGCATTCATTCGTAATGGGAGTGGGAGGAGGGGTATGAAGATTTTCAAAGTCAATAGCCCTTTTTATGAACTCATGATTGAAAAAGATTGAGAAATGGGCTTCCTGTGGCAGAAAATACTGGGGCATTGGTTAAAATATTATTAGCCCAAGTCTGTATTTGATACCTTGTAAGCTAAGTTCTCTGTATACTGGAATTTATTAATTCTTATACCTTACCTTTCATAGGACCAAAGTAAACAAGGTTTAATGAAAGCCAACATAAGAGTTGGTAAGCAGAACAAACTACAGGACTCAGGTCGCAAGGGTACTGGAGCACCACCTGAAATAAGGACCACTTTAGAGACTTGACGACTACGTACTGAAGATATAAGACAGCAAAACGATGACCTGAAGAAAAAGTTAGTGACAGCATTCAAAACTAAGTAAAGGGCAGTTCATTTTTTCTCACACAGGGGTGATGGGTAAGAAAATAGCAAAAAAAATTTCTTTCCCTTCTATACCCCTATTACTGTAATGTGCCCAATATTTTTTTGTATTGCCTTTTGTTTTCCTCAACATCTTAAAGGCGTTCCTATATAAAAATTTCTTAGTTCCTTCAAGACCACAAAAATGTCAAGGCCCCCAATTTTCCCCCCATCCATCATTCAAGTACCCACTAGCTAAAACTGGTACCAATATACTCTGACTGGACTGGTTATGTTATAAATGGGGGCAATGGTTGGTTAAAATCTCTGGAGTCACATTCATTGCTTCTTCCTCCCCCTCCCCTCCCCTCCTTAATATGCCTTAATATTCAAAACGACCCCTTCATCACCGTGGTATCAATACACGAGGAGAAATACACTTTTTTTAATCATTTGATGTGAATTTTTAGCTATAATTAAAATATAAATATGAAAAATAAAACCTACCCATATGAGTGTCCGACCAAAATATTTCTTCTCTTAGAAAAGCGATCGAAAATGGTGATCATATCGTTGGCTAGTTCCGAGAATTCGTAGGCCGGTTGGTCCTTAGGGGCAGAGCTTCCTCCATGTCCCAGGAGATCGGGAGCAACCACTGCATATCCTGCCTTAATGAAATGTCTGAGTTGTTCGCCCCATAACTCAGCACACCCTCCAACACCATGAATAAAGAATATAACAATAATGTTTTGATGGTCTTGACGGTCTTGACTTTCGAGTGATACTGAACGTTCTCTGCAGCTGTTGTTTGAGTCACGACGGCTTGAAGCTTCACTTGCAGTTGTTGATGYCGGAGGTGAAAAATGTAGCACCCTTATAAATCGTCCTGGCCTTACTTCTACTCTCTCAGTTTTTAATTCTTCCACAGGGACGACTCTGTTACTTCTTAGTTTTCTCCAAGGAACGCCAGGACTCATCGGGAATAATGTTTTAAATGGAGAAATTCATAGAGATCACAAGACACTTGACTAGTCCTTCGATCTTTCTCAACTTCATCATGTTAACGTTAATTACCATCAAAGTCGAATAACTCTCCTTTTCTATGAACGTTTTAAAATATTGTCATTAGCTTATCCATATATCCTTCCATCAACAATTCGAAGAGAAGACATCAATGCACAATAAGGCTATGACATATTAAATCCATAAAACCATTAGAATAGAACGTTAATAATCAAACAACAGCACACGTGAAGGTCTCTACTTGTTCTACACACAATTTCCGTTCTTGAACATACAACTTATCTTGATCGCGGATTCCGGCCAATTACAATTTTGAAGTCTTAATCTTGCAGAAGTTCTAGTCCTTTATCGCTGGAAACTTGATCAGATGTCTGATTTCCCAAGATCCAAGTTTTTGAAGTACAAGCTGACTATACAGAAAATATTGGTGTTCAACACCAATACGAAAAAATCGACTTAGTGAGAGTGGTAATCCTTTTATGTCAAGAGAAAAATATGTAATAAAGTTGAAGTAAAAAGCAAAAGGTTGTTGGTCGAAACAGCTTTTTCGACAACCTCACGACATTGAACCGAATACTGCACGCTACGTCACGACCGTTGCTAAGCAATTTTTGTATACAGTTTTTTAAATGGAATATTTGACACATCATATTACAATATCAATCTGCTACCGTCATCTTGAAGGAAGCATCGTGAAGAAAGCACACAAAAATATCGGGGGAAATATTTGAATTTTCGTCAATTTTATTCTTAAAAAACTTTACAAAGAGTGACGAACGAATTTCTAAATTTATACTCAATGAAAATTTAAATATTGGTAGTGCATGCCTTACTTTTATGAAGATGTACTATATTTTATGTAATGATACTGAAAATGGATGGAAACCTTCATATAGAATGGGGAAAAATGTGATAAATGATATGCGTATAAAAACACCACAGGGGGTCCAATCAGATACTTCTACCAAAATTCATATGTTTATAGTGGAATAGAAATTYTACCAATTATGTGTCATTTGCCTCATCCTGTAGTTTGATAACCATCTCTCCAACACACACTATGGCCTCTTTATCTTTTAATTTAGAAGAGCAGAATTTTCTTGTGTGTTTGAGTGCCTAAAAAGAAAGATAACGTCCTCGTTAGGAATACTATTTTATTATTTAGTATTATTATATAGTTAGGATAGTACGCACACACTGATTGGTTGAAAACTGTGCGTTATTAGATCCTGCAACCGTTTTTCTTTTTGCGTAAAAAATAAAAATAAATAAAACAGTTTTTTTCATGGTCGATCCAGTAATAAATCACTTAGGAAGCACAGTAAGCACTCAAGAAGTGTGAGAGCTTCGAACACTTCTTTCGTGCTTATGCCACTTCCTGCATGCTTTATTGCTCAACGGAGCATGGAAAAAGCTGTCTTATTTGTTAACTCAATCATATGCATGAATTTTCCATATGAGCAGTGGTGTGGCATTTTTCTGCATCCTCTTGAATAGCTACCTCTTTAATCTTAAAAGCCTATTTCCCATCCACTTCCCTTTTAATTCCAAGCCTTTCTTACTTTTACATAGCTCCTCCTATTGACTCCCATAGACTCTTCTTCCCATCCACTTCTAAATTGTCCCATCCATCTCTCAACTGACTCCCTAATCCTCTTTTCAACTCTAATTATCCAGTTACTTGTCATTCCACAGGTAGCCCAAGCTAGTTTTCTGTGGTGTCATGTCATACTGAAAATGTATGGTGATACTTAAAAACCTCAAAAAAATTGCAAAAATGTGAAATAAAGTAAAGAAATCTTAGCTGACATTTGAAAAGTAGTACCTCTTTCGCCCTGTTTACTTAGATTTTGGATTTAATCAGTTTTAACATTTTTTTCCTCTACAGTAATGGTAATGGTAACACCACAGAAACTTAGCTTGGGCTACCTGTGGTCATCCATACCTTTTCTCCAGTAAGTATCTCATCAGTATAAAAGGTTATGTTATCAGACATTAATGAACAATTATCTCCATTTGTCTTCATTACATGATGGAAGACCTAAAATTTAAACAACAACAAAAGTTAGTTATCATCCAATAAACATGCTTTATAATAATCCTTTTTTAAAATTGATGTATTTTGGGGCTCACATGCACACTAAGTAAGGGAGAGTAGTAAAAAACCTTCAGATTTTATCAATACGCTAAAACAACCTCTGGGCTGATTTATATGTTATGGAATGTCTAATTTGATCAGAATTGAGTGTGTGTTTTTTGTGTGTGTGTGTGTGTGAAGGGAGAAAAACCAGAGAACCTAGTGATAACCTTCCATTCAAGGGAGAGATGAAAATATAAAACTCTGCTCACATGTGATGCTGTAATGCTGAGTCCAGTAATCAAACCCATGACCCAATTGCCTTGCCACATTCCCAGTAGTCTGTACACAAACACTAAACGGAACAAATACAAATAAAAAAAGGAACAAAAACCTTTTCCTAATATATTTACCTTATCTTCCTTAGATTCAAAGTTGATTAATGTTAAAGTATAAAACATTGGTTCCTCATCAAAACAACACTCATGATATTGGTTAGAAGGTTGTTCACTTTCTGAAATAAGAAAAGAAAGAATAATACACCTTCCAATGTCCTACCCCACTCCTGTAAATTCTAATCCTACTCAAACATTGAACATGTATAAGTTTCCTATAAGACATGATTGTGTAATGGTGCACTAAAGTTATATGGAAAAACACTGTACACTGCAATTATATCTATCACACTTTATGTTTTGTAATATATAAGTTCTTGGTAGTGGACTATCAAATAATAGTATGTACCTACCTTCCCCTAACAGTCCATACTGTAGCTTATCCTTGGTTATTAGGGAACCCTAAAATGATAAAACAATAATTCTAATATATTTTTGTTCAAAACTTAACAATTACTTAAAATTATAGCTTACTATCTATCAATTCATCCACATAAATTAATGCAAATGAAAATTGAAAAAAAAAAAAAAACAAGAAAAAAATTTAAATGGCTTTCGATTCATCTAGTTCTTCCAAATTCACGTCTTGTCACTAACCTGGAACCATTTTCCCTCGTCAAAAAACGACAAATAACCAATCCCTTCAACTGTCCTTTCACTCATAGTCAAAAAGGATAAAATCTATAAACAGAACTGCCTCAAATAAGCAAAAATATCCCTACATGTTCACCATGTTTGAAGTCTTAAACTCACTGATTTCCCGCGAAAAAATTAAGGTAGGTGTATTGCAGGCTCACTTAGTAAGTGACCAATTAGAATTGAGCATCGATTTTTTAGATATTTATTTATTTTATTAATTAAAAACACCTTTTGTGTAATTCAAATTTTAATATTTCAATTAACTTTTACTTTCTTATCTCAAATCACAGAAATAGCTTCTTATGGATGAAGTATTCGATGGAGGATTTATTTAGACACTTAAATAATAAAAAAAAGTGATTTTTTTTTTTTTTTAATTTTTTTATGGCTGATTCATAACTGTCTCAGAATTAGTTGAAGTAGAATCATTTGCGTCATATTCGCCTTATCATCATCATCGACAGTTGTGAATGAGTTGTGAGGTGGAATACACACACTAACGTATAAAATACGACACAAGTAGAAACATCTACAACACATATTGACAGATTACGAGACAACAGTCGACCAAAATGCGAGCATATCAGATTGAAAACTTTGAACACAACATGTACCAGATATTTTTGTCTGGTATTCAGGATTTCGTGTTGGTTTCTTCACAATGCTTCAAGCATACTGGTAACGACTGGATGAAGAACGAGTGATGTGAGTAAGACACGAAAAAGACAAGAAAATACGACAACAAAACGAAACACATACAGACAAGAGAAGAACGACTACAACACATGACAATGAATGAAGACTGGGTCGAGGGATACACTAGTGTATTCTGGAAAGTATATTACTAAAAACACAGGAAGCCCAGTAAATAGTTTAAAATTTGTTTGAGTCTCTTCGTGTTTTCAAAAAAATTAGTAACGAAAGCTTAGGAAAAGCTTCCTCTCAACAAGAGATGTTCAAAGTAATAAGAAGAAAGTTTAGTATCCATGACTACTAAATCCTTTTAGTTATTCAAAATCCGATAAAACAGTAGTTGTTTACGTTGTTTGGTAAACCATTAAACACATTAGCTGAATAAAACAAAACGAGTACACAATTTACAAAGCATCAATTAACAGTTTTAACAAAATTTTGACAAGGGACGCGATAACAGTTGAACAAGCTGTCAATCAAACGCGGACGAATTACGTCTACGCATGCGCATTCTAATCCACTCATTGTTTTGCCGCCAGAGTTCGAATTGATTATGTTTTCTGTAAGTCGAGTAGGAAAATATTTGATTTACTAGAAGCACATGAATTACACCTCCAAAAGTAGCGTCGGAGGGGATCATGCTTCTAAAGGCAAAGGACTTGGATTGAAACAAAGGGGTCAGGTTTATAATTCGGCTAGCGAGGCTCTGGATGCTTACATTTCAGCATTCGAGAAACGGACCAACTACTACACTCGCAGCTCATCGGACTTACTTGCTCCCAAACCGAAATTCTACTTCATGGATTCTTTGGAAAGAAGTTTGCTAGGGAGCCCTGGTAAATCTCCGGGCCAGAAAGTTGACGATCTCGTTGCCTGGGTTAATCAGACTTATAATCAAGACGTGAACAGCAGAGTACAACCTTTTGGTTTGAACTCCAACCATGGCGTAGAGTCATGTGAGTAGAAGTGATTTGAAATATCTACTTTTGAGAACTACGAACATTACTTTATTATTCACTACCATCACAGAAAACTATAATCTGTTTTATTTATAAAAATGATTTGGCTGCCTTGAACCTTAAGTGCAGTAAAATCAGGTCTGAATCAGTTTGGTTTTTTAAAGTGAAAGCTCCAAGAGATATTTTTATTGCTAAAGATTATGCACATGTAGTTCTACTCTGCTTGGCGTCCCTGCCAACGCACTCAAGTATTTCACAATCGCAAACCAAGATCTTTATTACATAATCTAATCCTTAGATTCCTGTATTTTGACTTTTTTTAACATTCATTATCTTTTTTCATTTGCATAAATAACTTTAAGCAATTATCAGAAAATCTTTTCCATGAATTACTTAAAGTTGTACTCCAAACTGCTATTTCAAACTTGTGTAAACAAAGCTCTTCAGCGATAGAAAAACGACTCTACCTCGAATATTTCCCACTAAAATTCGACAAACAATTTGAAACGTCTTTTGTTTATAATTTCGACTTTAAACTAGAAGCATATATATATATTATTTAGTAGACTAACTATTTTCTTTCAAGGTTTTGCATAATCAATTATTTAACGAAAGCGTTGTCTAGTAAGCTTTGTTTTCTGTGTTCGAAGTCTACGCAAAAAAATAAAAGTAACTCATAAAGAATTAAAAATATTCTGAATATTTTTTGGAATTTTCTTTTTGAAACGTGGATTGAGTTAAACCAGCTTATACTATAACCTTTGCATGTTGTCTCTGAATACGTCCCGTTGCTATGTAATATAGCGTCTCTATATACTATCGTTGCTAAGTAGAATACACTTTTCATTACTTGTAATATGATATAACCCAGATCAAAACAACTAACATACTGAGATATATCCATTATACTCACACAGTTTGACTATCATTATAATTAGTACTTGTTTTCCTTAATTGCATGGTTTACAGGTGATATACTCTTTACTCGAAAATTTGCATATGTTTTATTCACATGTTATAAATATACCAGAAATATATTAAGTCTGTAAACCTCTATTAACTATGTGTAAACCAAGCATATATTTTATTTATAATTGACTTTTTATCTGTTGAGTTGTGCTAGTGCTGTAGTTATGGTGATGATAAAAGCTAACTTATCAGGTGAACAAAATGCAGAGATACCTAGATACCTTAGAAATGTTTAAATTCAGTACTTAAAATTGTTAACTCTTATTTTTCATTAGCTGGGCATCCCTAAACACTATGCTTTTCTCTCACAACTTTTCAAAGAAGGTTGGAAAGGATACAGTGAAAACAGATAAAAATAAGGCTTAGAAAACTCCTAACAAATGATCATTTCTCTATGGAACATTCGCAAAAGAAATATAAATCCTAAATATTCTGCACTATGTTCCCTAAGAATGGTAAAATATTTTCATGTCTCTAATCTAAAGTAAATAGAACTCCAGCTGTTAATTATTAGTGTTTTGCTAGCAGTAATTATTATTTGTGGGCCAAATTATGGAGATAATATACAATTGCTTATGTTGATGGTCAAAAGCGTAGTAAGTTTAACTTCAAGAAAGCACTATGATCACTATACCAGCCATGACTTTTCAAAACAATAACAATACTCCATTTTAGTTTCGTTCAGTAACCACAAATAATAGTTCCAAGCTGAGGCTGGAGTTTCTGCACATAGCAAACTATACTTTTTATCATGAGCAGCAACCCCAACCTCGGCTTGGAACTATTGTTCATGGCACTGAACAGAACTGTAAAATGGAATATGTTTTTTTTTATATGCATGAAACATTAATTATTTTACTTATCTTCCACAGTTCCAGGATCAAGGGGTGGTCAGACAAGAACGACACAATATTCATCTCGCTATTCACCATCTCGTAGAGTTGAAGTAGATGAACTATCTTCACTCCCTTCTCCTAGTTCTTCCGTAGTTGATTTGGATAGTAATGCAGGAACTGTTGAGACTGATATTTTGTTAAGTAGTTACAAAGGAGAGAAACCAGAAGGTATGGAATATAATTTATTGCTATATGATTTTACCTCAGGTATCTTTCATTCTGTCTTTTTCTCTTTGGGCTTCCTGTAGAAATTGACAGGAGAGGGGAGACTGAGAAAAGGAGAGATGGTTTCTCATGTTTTGTACTTTTAGTCTCCCTTGGCCAAATTGTTAGACACAGGTAGCCCATCAATAGGATAATACCTTGGGTTTAAGGAAACTATCTTAAGCAGTCCTTCTTTTCCAATCCTGGGTAAAAGCCTTTTTGAGGTAACTAATCATTCATTTTATCATGATATTTTCACAATAGATGCTTACTCAAGGTCAAACATATATGAACAGTACCCAAAAGCAAGACCAACATCTCTAAAAGTATCAGGGAAATCTCCAAAGCAATATGGCAGTAATATTGAGTATCCTAGTTGGGTGTCTAGTCTGGGTAAAGAGTACCCAAGCTGGGTAGAGGACTTGGACAGCACAGCACTATCGAAAAAGGCATCTAGGAGGTATGTACATTAATAGTATATCAAAGTAGTGACTAATAAAAATTCTTCATTCTGATTGGCTAATATAATATAGGTCTTTTAATGAGATCCTACTAATAGAGAGGTATTCTCTATTTAGTATCAATAAACAAGGAGTGTACTTTTACAAATCCTGCTTCCTGATTAGTTGCACCACAGCCTAGCCTTCTCTACAGACGTCTTTTGCTCTGCTTAGGCTTCCTCGTTTTCACCACAGGAAACCCATCTCTGTCGAATCGCAACAAAAACAGGAGCAAGTAGCCTTGGGAGGAGGCTAACTATAGTTACAGCCCTCTAGGTAGAGGAAAACAGATCATTTCACATTTTACCAAGGCTCCAATTAAGGAGATATCCCAAGATTCCAAAGCACAAGAGACAACCTAACATGATGGGGGGTCTTGGGATTGAGCCCACTACCATGGAAGTCAGTTCCCATTGATACTCCCTACTCTACTTTTAAAATACTCATTAGAACTACTTTAGGAGAACATTATTGACAGTTCCGGCTGTATCTATCCAATTAGCTATTCCAAGGTTGAGTAAAAACTGGGTCGAGTCGAACTTATAGTGCATTGTGGGACTGTTATAAGGGACGAAATAGGTGCTATCTTGGAAATATGTACCCTAAATCACTCCCACAATGCAATGCAATGCCAACTCGACCCAGTCTTTTCATTAACTTTGGAAAAGCTAATTTATTTTTGACTGTAGTCCACAGCATAAATACTCAAGTACTGTGAGAACAAGTCCAAAGATTAATACGTCTAGTAGCTCTTTAGACTCCAAAAGAGAACTCAAAGTCTCAGATCTCAAAGTAAGAACACCGCCATCCAAATCAAGGACAACTAAAACCAAGCATCTGAGCCTAGGGAAAGCTGACAAGGAATATTTAAGAGACTGGACAGACACTGCAAGTATGGACACTGATATCCTACTGTCGCAGCCAATGTATGGTGACCGGCCAGTTAATATGGGTGGAGACTTACATCAAACATTACATAAAGATCAAAAAGTTACTAGACTTAAAAAAGAGTCGACAAAAAAGCTAAAAAAAAGTTCGGAAAAATCTCGGTCCAGAGCGCGCGAAAGGACGCAAATTTCTCCTCGTTCTAAGAGTGTGTTAGTTACGCCAGATCATGGTGTCCGTGCCGTATCTCCAAGAGAGTACCAAAGTGCTCCCCCAAAGTCTAGAATGCGTCCTGAAGCTAGCGTATCTCCAAGTTCATATCGGGACTATTCTCCGCTCAGGTCGGGACATTTGAGACCATCCCCGGAACGCTTGGAACTCAAACCTACGCAATTCAGTATGCCAGTAAGGAGTCCAAACTTTAGAAGTACAGAAATTTACCAAAGAGAAGAGTATCCCTCCCCTATGTCTAAGTACACCACCCCTTCCACCGATAAAAGACATTCACCCGTTAGAAGTCATGCAAGAGAGTCTGAATACCGTGGGTCTGGAGAAGAGTATTCGTCCCCTATGTCTAAGTACACCTCCCCTTCCACCGATAGAAGACATTCACCCGTTAGAAGTCATACAAGAGAGTCTGAATACCGTGGGTCTGGAGAAGAGTATTCGTCCCCTATGTCTAAGTACACTTCCCCTTCGACTGATAGAAGACATTCACCCTTAAGTAGTCATGCAAGAGAGTCTGGATACAACGGGTCTGTAACGAGAAAGCCACCGAGCCCGAGTCACATAAAGCACTCGGGCACGCGATCGCGGAAATCAAAAGACTCGAAACCTGGACTAGGAGAAGATGCTGATAAAGATGCTTCAGATACTGATAGGGAAATGAGAAAGTCACCCACTGGTATCAAGATGGAAAAGGTGTATCGGGATCCTTCCACTATGTATCCGTGGAAAACCATGATACAGTCACGCAATCATAAGTCAGTGGCATTTAGTGACGGCTATAGCCCTGGACTTGCAAAACCTGTTTATAAATCCACACCAGCTGTGAAAAATGAAGCGATAGCTAGCCAGAGGTATATGGCGAGCAAGGTGCCATCGCGTGACTTGAGTGGTAATGTCACGCAACCGGAGGAGTATGTGACAAGACGCATCACGCATTATTTTCCTAAGGCATCTCCAGGACTTAAGAGCGCACCGCCACAACCGGTATTCACAAGTACAAGTCAAACAATCCCCACTCATAAACCACCTATAGCACCAAGGAGCTTAGATAGACTAGGAAAACACCAGAGAAGCCGAACGATGCCCGATCTAAGGACGATAGGTTCCGGGGTCAAGTCTCTACGTCATTCGAAGGGCAGACGTAGTTATGACGATGATTTATTGAGTGTTGTGACGTCAGACACGGAGGTGTTACTCACTCAACCTCCAATGCCAATAGTAGACGTTAGTCCATCTCTAACTACTGTATCAGATAGTAGCGACACTATCGTAGGTTCAGACACCGAGTCCGAGAGAGAAACCTATCGACGGTCGAGTCCTACGAGGTCAATACCAGTGAGACAAGAAGAAACGTCCTTTAATTCTGCGCAGGGAGGGGAGGGTGAGAAATTCTCACCCACGAGTGCGTTCGCGTCTTCGAGTCCGTATGCAGCAGTGAGAGAAGAGCTTCCAAAGAGATATCATTTATGGAAATTGTAAGTTAATAATGATGATAATAATGCTAATAATAGTTAGTGGTATATTTGCATAATTCAAGAACTGTGATGATTTCAATGAGTATCGTAAATTTTGTACTGGTCTAAGGATCAAGGCACACACGGTAATTTTACGGTACAGCATCGATGACTTTTTTTAACCAATTACAACGCAGGATGACTTTTCAGCATCCAATGAAAATGTCGTGCGCATGCGAAAAGTTTTTCGAGCAAATAGATTATCCTTCAAATGACAAAGTGTTAGGAATTTTCAGAGCAACTCAAGGTACTGACTTGCATAGCCTGTGTTACATCCGTATGTAACACAGGCTATGACTTGCCTCGTTGTGACCGTGAAGCCTTGACGTAATCGTGGTGTAAGCGTGACCATATGTCCTGGCTTGAGCAGTGTTGTCTTACGCGTTCTGATTGGTTTAGATTATGCCCTCACTTCCATACCTTCATACGACATATATATTTTCTCTTCAAAAGTCACGGCACGGTTCGCCACATTTGAACATTAATATTTTTCACTCATACTCAAACCTGCTATGAACAAAGCCTACATTATTATTTGTTTTCTGTTTGGTTCTAGAGACGACGATACCACGGCTCCTGATAGTTTTATCAAAAAGAAACACGTGGCAAGTGGAAAGTCGACCATTATTTCTTCGTTCCTCGAGGACTGTTTAAATATAGATGATAAAGATAGCTTGTATGACTATAATAGAAACCTGGTGAGAAACTTAAACTCCTAACGTTATTCTCAAAAGATCTCTATGAATACTTTTCCTTTTTGGCGGGAAAAATAGTCGCGCGCGATTACAATACTCCTCAGTAAGCATGCGCTTTGATAGTTCTACCGCTGTACTATTTCGGCCGTTCATTATTCATAGGAAAGCTTCTAAAATCCGCAAACTACATTTATTTTTGCTCTTGAAGTTCATCCAAACACCAGAACCAGGAAGGTGGAAGCTAATGCTATATTTTTTTCGATTAATTTTAGATTCAAAACTCTTCTCAACCAGTCTCCACACGGTTAAGTGGTCGAGAGGGAGCCCCGGGTCCGGTTGAGGCTCTTAAAAACATGCTCTTTACCATGCAAGACATGGCGCATCACAAAGATGCTGCACAGAGAGACGAAGAACCGCAAAGCTGCAAGGTTAGAGACGTTAAAACCTTTTGAAAATAATAATAATAATAATAATAAATATTTCTTATATAGCGCCTCTTCCATAAATGTCCAGTGGCGCTTTACAATAAATTCAAAACTAAATTATCGTAAAAAAAAACTAGACCTAAAAAAGAAAAATTAAATCAAGAGCTAAAGTACCTTAAAATTACTTAATAAAATATTAATAAAA